CATCTTCAAATAAGTTTCCTTCAATTGTTTGTAAACTGCTGATGCAGTCCGGCCAAAGTCCCCCGAAAAGTGTTGTGATGCGCATTTGATCATATCCACATGTTAATTTGCGCAATATAAATAATAAATTTTTTTAATTATTATTATTAAAAGAGACTATTTTATTTTGTCAGGTAAATTGATAACCCTACATCGCAGGTGTCGTATTGGGGAGTGCAAGTTAGTAGATGTTGAAGCTTCCAATGATCAATGCATAGCCAACTGAGGAGAAATTTCCTCCTCGCTAACCTTCCTCTGCATCAATGTAGTCTTCGTCCTCAGGCTCCACAACATCCTCCACAGGATAAGCGGTAGCTCGGTCCATTGCGAGATCTCCACCTTTCTTTCCTATAAAATAAAATGAGACAGTAATAATATCTCAATTCACATTTGTAGAATGTATTTTGGCATTTCTGAAAAAGCCAAAGACTACAACAAATCATGACGAACGAAATATCAAAAGAGCCACCCGTGAGAGATCTCAAACGCGGGAAGGTGCGCGCGAAAGAGTCGTCACGGATTCAGTTTCCAAAGACAATCACACACGATATAACAACGCAAAATTACATGAATTCAGGAGAGCATACGACGCCACTTTGATTATTTCAATCTGATATCATAGTAGATAAACCCTTCATATCGATAGCGCACCAGACACATGCGACGCATACTCCCGAACTGAAGTCAATCGAAAATGAACAAGCCATAACAGTATATTATTATTATTCTGCCATGCATCTAGAATTTAGGGAACTCACTTCGCCTCGCAGTTCTCATATTTTCGATGAACGATCTTCCTGTGGAGACTTTGTCCTCAATTGCTTCACACAAAGCTTTAAGTAAGGGGACTACTATTTTGCCTTCATTCTCTAAATCTGCAAATGCAAGCATTTCATTTCGGATCGATTCTTTCGCAGTATGTTATCAACTGTAGTGTCCTTCAATTATGATTAAGACTGACGAAAAGAAACTTCATGTTTCCGATTCACCTCCATTACTCCCCGTGCTCCCCCAACCCTTTCTCGGTTTCATTTTTAAACCCCCCACCCTTTTTCGTCTCCATCTTTTACCCCCCCTACACTCTCTCGGCCTCATCTTTCACCCCCCCACCCTCTCTCAGCCTCATCTTTCACCCCCCCACCCTTACTTGGCTTCATCGTTCACCGCCTCCCCTTACCGTTCCTCGGCTTCATCTTTCCATAGCAACGCCTCACTCGCAGGCAAAATAAAATCATATCTTCATCTTACCTGAGAAATGTAACTCCTCCTCTTTCTCTCTCTGTTTTATTTCTTTACACACTGCAATAAAAAATATTATGGTGAACCTTGTCAAACAGCTGTGTGTTACCAAGCTAAGGGATGAGACACTAAACAAAGATTTCCCCTCTGAAAGATATCCATTTTCTTACAGTGTGCAACCGGGGCTTCATTTCTTATCAAGAGAATGTTAGCTTTAGTCTGAGAAGATTAGTTTATGTTCTCTTGGGCCTTAGCAAACCAAATAACTCCGACTGACTGCATGAAACGTTCGGCGCCTAAAACAGTCTAGAACTGCGGTTTCTATTAGGAACAACAAAGCTGTTATTTCCGTCTGCCTAGGCTGGTAATTTCGAGTTTCGAACAGCCGTTTTTTTCACGTCTCTGATTAAGACACTGAACTAGAGAAAACCACCGAAAATCGTTAGTTTGTTTTGGTCCAAACGGGAGTTTATTTCGGCCTGCGCAAAGACCAGTGTTTGAAACAAGCCTTACTAGTGACTTCGTGGAGGAATTTTTACCCGATTACAACATCGATAAAAATAGAAATAACACGTGCAGTATTGAAAGGGGCTTCCCCGGACAATTAACATCGGTCAAGTGGGAATATCGCCATCAAACACAACCTTTTTCCGTTTAGCCATCAATTTTGTTTTGGTTGTCAAAACAAAAAATATCAGCTTTTGACGAATACAGAATTGAACAGTGAAAACACTGGGTCGCAAAACAACAAGAGGGGGTTTTCCCCGAACAGCAAAACTGAAAACAGATTCAGAGAATCTCGATCACAGGGAAATCAGCAAGATAGAGAGCAAGAAATCAAATCATAATTATTGTCTACGATCATAACAAACAAACAATAAGAATCAAGTATTACAAAGTGCCTACGACGTTTTTCATTTCAAATTCAAATTATTCATCACAAAGGCAAGGGAATAAATGATGGACGTTTAAAAGCGGCGCGCAAGTTCAAATCTTCTACCTACCACAACAGTTTAAAGGTCCATGTAGATGGTCATACAAAGGGGAATGTTTTGACTGCAGAGCGTGTGTCAAATACCAAAACGTGTGCGGGTCCTTTTGCTCCACAACAGTGAGTAGCTCCGTTACTTTCCTCTCCATGGTGGTAAACAGGTTATTGTTGAAAATTCTTTCGTGATCTTGCGCGTCAAACTTTCCATGCGCCCTCATGAATCGCACGATGTAAAACAATTGATCTTCGTTTCGAATGATCTCTGGGAATCGAATCAAAAACTCGTCCAGGCCTTCTCGAGAAATTTTAAGGTATTTTTCGATGCGTTTCGACGCTCCTGGACGAGACTGGTTTTCAACGTGGAGGAATCCGTAGCACTCCTCTAGGTTGAGATGATTCGGCATGGCTTGATGCAATCGGCTTCACTCTAGCAATCTACAGTTACGTCTGGCGCACAATAGCTTTCGTTTTATAAAAATACTTAATCCAACCTCGTTCCCAGGGTCTCTCATCTTCCCGCTCCAGGGGGCGGGAAGATAAGAGACCCTGGGAACGAGGTTGTACTTAGTCTTGACAGTGTTGAAATAACACTCAAGTATGCATCCATCCATAACCTCCAAAACAGGAAATGGTTTATTAAGAGGTTGTCACGAAAAATCAAACATTCACCGACAACAGTCAAAAAATCGAATTGGCTCATATTCTAGTATAAGGTAGGCCTACAGGTAAAACAAACCGAGACATATGTAGTTTGTTGAAAAATTCTTTTGTTTCCGAGACAATTGATAAAACTCAATTCAGGCATAATGAGCGTCATTCGAAGGTCGAATTTAGCCCAATTTTTGGAGGCCTTGTTTGTACTTGCAAAAGCAGTGAAAAACTTGTTCAGGATTCGACACACTTTTAGAACAATGTCTCCCCTATGTTTTCGCAAAAAAGTAGAATCGCTATTTAAATTTGAAATAAAATACGGATTTTTCTATCTATTTACTTAAGTGCCGTGCGAAAAGTAGGGTAGCTTCGAAAAAATATTTTTATATGTGCTAAGTGAAATGAACGTTTAATATTTGAAATATAAGAAGTAGAAATG